GCCACGAATCACGTTTGGACAATGTTAGTAGCTGTAGCGATACTATTCTAATTCGCATGTGCTGCATCGCTGTACCTTCATTTTTTGAAGTGTCCCCTCCCCCAGAATTTCCAATCTGTCCCACCCCTCAATTCTGGAATACGTCCCAGCCAATGTCCCAAAAATACTCGTTTACCCTGGCTATGTATTCACTCGTCAGGACGAGTCACATCAAGAAAAAAGAAAAACGGCGCGAAAAAGGGCAATTGGCTGATGAAAAATTACGATGATTCGGTCCTCAAATTCACATTTTCCAGAGAACGACGACTCCCGGAAGCACGGAGGACCTCATCCGAATGCGCAAGAGCATTCAATCGAAAGATGAGAAAATTCAGCAGTTGGAGAGGATGGTCAACGACTTGAGAAAGTATGTTTTTGGATTTTTTTTCCTATGCTGAAAATAGTCGAAAAATATTTGGAGAAAATTAAAAAAGGCTTCTCTATTTCAGAACGCTCGGTGACGAAACGGAGCGGCGTAAATCAACATTGGCTACGATAACAGACACATTTGAGGCTCAAATTGATAGATTACGAGACGAGAACTATGAAAAAGTGAGATTTCTAAAATAGAAAATTTTTGGAAAGCGGAACTCTCAAACAAACCTTTTTTCTCACGTATGATGCAGCAATTTTATTTTTAGTTTTCGATAAGGATCACTTCAATATTTTTCTATCTCATATTTATTTATGAATGCAGGAAATTTTTTTCAGGAACTGCTCATCAATGAGCTCAGAACCGAAAGGGACAAGTATGCAGCGATGGTGGATAAAAGTGAGTATTGAGTCTCGGAGTATAGTCAAGAAAAACGCAAAAAAATGGAAAAGAAGAGGAGAAGAAGACCGCTTCTTCTCTTTGACATGTAAAGAGAGCAGCACTCTTCTCTCCATCGCCTTCTTTTTTTGCTCCGCCCATTCTTCAATTTTTTTTTCTGCTATGCTCGGTTGTGCATCTATTTTTTCCAGATAGCGGAGACGAAGCTCTCAGTCGAATGGAGGAAATAAGGCAAAAAATACAGGAAAGAAAGAAGAAAGGACGTTTGGGAGTGACAGCAGGAGGGTAAGGTTTTCGTAGGAAAAAGAAAATCGACAGAAAAGAAAATCGAGGAGTCATTATTTTGTCTTGTGGCTTACGAGTTAGGGATATGTTCTGAAAACATGAAGGAGTAGTATGGAGGAGAAGAAATTGGAGAGGTGTACTCTGAGATTTTCTCGAGAAAAAGAAACGAAAGAGAAAGCAAAAAATGAGTGAAACATGATACATTTCAGATTATCCGAACATGCTAGAACATCATCTGGATCCATGATGCAACAATCTTTGCATAGAAGGTGAGTCATGTTATGAACTAGAAATAAAACCATAGTTTTAAAATTTCTGAAAAATTCAAAACGAAAATTAGTAGCAAAAACTGATATCTGTGAGAAAAAGAAAATGTAGAAAGGCTTTCTAGAATAGATTAGCTTCAAAAAATGGGTTACTGAAATCGCAAAATGAGCGATGGAGGTTTTCGGTAGATGATTATAATGATGAATTGCTTTTTTGTTGAATGAATCTGGTTTCGGAGCTGATTTACTACAATATTAAATTCATCAAAATCGCTATTCCAGAAAGATGTACCCATTTAAATCTATGCCAGTTCATCCAGAAACTCGAGCTGAACGAAAAAAAACATCCTTAATGATTAGAAGTTTTCTCAGGAAAATAAAAATTTATCTAGTAGCAACAAAACTTATAAAGGCCTGAAACAATAATTATATGGCAATTTCATCAATCGAACTACAGTAACTTCAAACAACAAATATTTTCACCCAGATCATCGAGCGGATCATCGTTCGACCCTGTGCCAACAGCACCAATGCCATATAATATGTTCAAAAACGCAACAAACAACAAACAAAACGGTGGTTCATACGGATAATCAGTTTATCTAAAAATCCAAACGAAAACATTTTTTCTCTTGTCATTCTAGCTAGTTATCATATCTAATTATTATTTACATATTTAATTTGTTCTTTCCTGGTTACTTTCCTTTCCAGCGCATAATTTTGCACAAATTTCCAAAGTTCATTCCTGGATATTAAAAGAGAACTCTGAATTATTTTCAGAAAAATGTGTAGATTCATGGTATATATTTGTTTCAAAACTTCCAGAAGTGAGTTTGCAAAAAAAAACCCCCCAGTTTTCCTATTACTCTGAAAATTTCTAAAACATTATCAATTTTTGAACAAGTTTCCGCCAAAACTGAAAATTTTAGGCCACCAATAGAAAAGTGAAAAAAGCGAGTTTTAGTTTTGAAGAGAATTCAAAAAAAAAAGCTTGAACCAACTAGTCCAGAAATAGATGAAAACAAAGATTTTAGCATTTGAAAGCGATTTTTTAATGTTTTGCAAATTTCTTTGATTTTCATAATTGTCTACACATTTTAATCTAATAAGAATTTCGTTCGGAGTCCCGCTCTAATGTAAAAAATAGTAATACACTTCGAAGTCAGTTCATATCAGAAATGCCATTTTCTGCTCCTCTCAAATTTATATAGTCGGTTAAGAAGATCTTTCCACTTTCGTTTTGCTCCTTTCAGTTACAATTCTTGTTCAAATTTGCCAAAGTTTTCAATTTTGTTTTTGTATGTGAATAATTCCTTTTTCAATGAATTATCGGTGTTTAGAAGAATAAGACAAAAAACGTTTTTTTCAAAGAAGGAAAAGAATTTTGGTGAAAAACTCCACAAAAAACAGCTGCCATTCGTGGAAAGTACATCAGCTGTCAGCGTATGTGTGTGTTTGCAAACAAAACTAAATAAAACAATGGTGAGTCTCGCTCAAAATGAGGAATGAGGGAACCAGAGAAAAAAGTCTTTACCAAAAAAAAGATGAAAGAAAAATAAAAACAGAATTAAGGCTTTCTGCTTTCAACAAGGGCAAGAATACCTTTTTTTCAAAGAATATTTGGATTTTCGGTTTCGTTTTTCGAAGTCAGAAACAAATTAGGTTATTGTTCTTCTGAAAACAAATTTGACTAAAAATTCATCACAACATTCATAGAAATATATAGTTATTCTCAAAATGAAACATTTATCAGAATTTGAGATCTACCCTGTAGTTTGAAAAAATGAAACTGCAAAGTGAAGAGAGAAGTATAGCGTCTGAATCTGTGACAATAAAAAACGGATAATTTGGAATGAGCACTTGTTGAAGAAATTGAAGAAAAAAAAACAGGAAATCACCGACAGGAAAGTGAAAGAGTTGTTGAAAGAGCAAAAATATTTACAATGACAGTTTGCAAAATTAGTTGAAGCGAACAAATTAGGACCAGTAAGGTGAAGGGCGTGAGGGAAAAATGGAAAAGGAATAGACAATAATATAATAAATTTAATTTTAAAAATAAACAGTAGGTGAAGCTCCAGACCCATCGGACACCACAGTGACTGGAACCAGATGAGCGCCTTGGGAACGTTTTGGTCCGGGCGACTTGGATTCGTAGCAGCGGTCTCTTTCACTATTCACCACATACCTGAATTCAAAAACTTTGAATCCTCTGGAAATCAAAATTATGCTCACCTAGAATTGATCGGTGTCGTTGTGGTGATTGAAATTCCTGTATCTGTGGTTCCATTGAGCCAACAAATGCTGGAACGCCGATTTCCTTGCTTCCACTTTTCACAAAATTTTCGGCACACCAAAATAGCCAACATCGCGAAAATTAGACAAAGGATGATCATTATCAACAATGCAAAAGTTGTAGTTGAGTGTAATACAAATGACGGATTGTCGATATTGACCTTAGTGATAGCCATTTGGGTTCCATCCTTTGCCACAACTATCAATTCACAAGTTTTACATTGTAAATGTGCTTTCGGTAAGAGTTTCACCACTCCATTGGTGTCCACTTCGAAGTCACTGAAAAAATACAGATTAAAAAATCCCGATTTCATAAAATCCTACTTATTCATGTTCATCAAAATATAGGTCAGCTTGTTTCCAGTTCGTGATGTGGCATTGACTACTCCGAGCACATTTAATTTTCCAATGGTCATACGGTACTCGAATTTCTCAAATTTGACAGGTGTTCGGCATGTTTCTTCAGAGTTGGCTGTCATTAAGTGCAGAGTTGTGGAGACAACGTTCTCTCCATCACTAGCAGTCACATTCAGTGTTTCCGGCTTTTCGAGCTTTTTTCGGAGCACCACATTTCCAGAGACTTCATCGATGGATACTGTATTAGTGTCAGCAAGAAGAGAATAAGTGAGAGACGCGTTCTGAAAAATAAATCTCAAAACTAAATAGGAAATTTTAAACTCACATTTTCCGAGTTTGCTGTGACTGTGATTACTGTAGATCCGATTGGGGTAGACGGAGAAATCTTAAAAATAACTTTTTATTCAAAACGACAGTTATTCAAAATAGCAACCGTTGTTGAGTATGTGTTGTGCTGGAAGGCTAGAGATGGCTGTAGTCTGATGGATAAGATTGCGGTGCTGCTTCGCTCCGGATCGTCTTTTTCAGCTGCCTGAAAAAAAATGAGCGAATTAGAATTTTGCGCATATTTCTCGTCCCTGTTCTCTCTGATCTTTACCTACTGTTGATCTTCTAATCAAAATCCATCATTTTCCTCAACCTTTCATCGCCGTGTATGTGTGTTTCAAACAATTCGGTACCAATTAGAATCTTCAGAACCGTGCAACTGTGGCGCCAAGGACAATTCTACTCGTTTGTATTTTTTTCTAACTTGTAAACGAAAAAACATTTAAAAGGTGCATACACTATTGCCTTAAATTGAATGTGCGGAATTGAATAGAAATCAAATCGAACGCACATCTTGAAGTTGTTCAATGAACCAGATAAAAAACACGGCAGAAATAGAAGAAATGAAGAGAAAACGCGAACAAAAAATGGAAATGGCTTACCGTAACAAAGAAAGTGGCCCGTTGTGGGGGGTTTGAGGTAATTGAGCGGATGCTTCCGTCGTTATCAATCGCGAAATGTTCCGAAAGTTCTGAAAAATACGTTTTTTAAAAGAGAAAATACGCATGTTTCCACATGTTAAACAATTTTTGTCGAATTCCATTTTTGTTACTCTGCAATTATTGAAAAAAAAAATCAAAAATCTCAGAAAACCGATTCAAAAACGAAAAGTCTCTATTTTCGTCCATTTCTGAAAACCTAGAAGCTTCTCAAATTTTTTTGGAGGTCTCACAAAAACTGATAACTCCCGTTTTTTTAGAAGTGGTTTAGAGTTTTCAGTTTCAACCGGCAATTTTCAGAAAATCACCAAATTGACGAGAGCTGAGATTTTTCACTTTTTTGTATTCATCTTTTAAAATGTTTTGTATATTCCTGAAACAAATGATAGACTTTAATATATCTATTTTTAATGGCATCCCAATGCTTTTGATGTTTTTTTTTTAAATAATTTTTTTCGTCTCATTTCTATATCTTCTCCCCATTTTGCATTAAGCCACGCAACATGAAGTATGAAACGATATGGGCATTTTTCTTTTCTTACATACCTCCGGACAGAGAAAAGATCAGCGAAGCGTTGAGACGATCGCCATCTTGTGCCGAGATAGCCTCCGGTTCGAAAACCAATACACCATTCTGAAACATTTCGAAACGTTTTTTTAGGTTTCAATCTGATTCTAAACCCAAACTATAGTTGAACCTACCTTCTGCGTTTTAGCGGTATAGTGCGAATGTTTGAATTTCGGCAGCAAGTCGTTCACATCAACAACTGTCACATGTAACGGCACTTTTGATGCCAAACTGGGTTCTCCTTGATCTCTCGCCTCGATTTCTACAGAAAACTTTTTGATCTCCTCGTAATTAATGCGATCCTTAATAGTGATCACTGGTTTGAAAGGGTCGGGGATTTCCAAGAAGTGAGAGTGTGGTCCCGGGACAATTGAGTATTGTACGAAACTGTTTGGTCCCGGTTGATCATTGTCTGTGGCTTCGAAATCCGTGAATACAATTGTACCTAAAAAAATGAACTCGGAGTCCCAAAGTTGTTTTGACATCATTTTACCAGTTGGCAGTTCTTCCTTTATTTCTACAAAGTACTCGGCTGAATCAAACACTGGCGCGTTGTCGTTAATGTCTTTGACGGTCACAAAAACCGAGATGTTCAACTGCAATTATTCATCAATTGTTATCAGATTAGGAACAGAGAAGCGTGTTTCTTTTTCATTGGTAGTTGTATCTGTCATTTCCGATCATTTTCTTCTATTATTGCCTCCCATACCTGACTGAAATCGGCATCCAGATTAGAGGAACGGCATTCGACGACAGCTTCAAACTTGCCGACTCCCTGAAATTATACGATCAAAAAATTGCCTTCATTTTGCGGGATACAGGTGTCATTTTCTTCTTTTCCCCTGATCCGTTCCTTTTTCGGTTCATCATTGACTAACGCGCCATAAAACTTGTAGGCCAAGTGTCTTGTGTCCCTCAAAATGGTACGTCTTAGAAAGAAAAGCCTAGACTTTCTCAGCCACTCCCAAATAGGAGAGGAAATAGACATCGAGCGATGAATACCGAGTGCTCTTTTGTTTTACACGCTAACCACTTAGAATGGTCTGTCAACAACGAAGGCAAGACTCCGACGCATCGCAATGCTCAACTATATTTAAGTTTCTCAGAGAGAGCTCCGCCTCAGATTTCATGATCACGAACAGAATAGAATTGGGGAGAGAGATAATTGAAAGCAAATGGAGAGAACATACTGTGATAAGACAAGAGCAAACATAAATTCGCTTCATTTGAACTTTGAATGCAGCGCAACATGTTGTGTTTATCTCTTCATTCAAGGATCAAAAATAGGAGAGTCTAGCGGCAAATTTTGTGATATTGTGTGGAATATTTGAGACACGTTTTTGATTAATACAGATCCTGAGTGAATTCAAAAATGTTGAAGCTGTAAGAATTAAAAAAGAGTTTTTAGGGAGCTTAACACCGGCTCCAAATCAGAACCATGTCTTTGCTTCAAGGGAAGAAAGTATTCTGAAGACATTTTCAAAAACTACAATTAATCAAAAAGAGGTACGTGTTTCTAAAAAAACCATAAATCATATAAGTAACACTGTAGCTTAGCAGATTGGAACGCGACACCTCCAACGTTTTTCTTCCAACTTTTTCTTCATTCCCAAATTACCTCATCTCTATCCAATCCCTTCTTCAGAATCAAATCGTGACTGCCAGGCTTCACATCCACCAAATCATTTCCCTTCACAACACGTAGCTCAACATCGCTTGTTTCTTTTGATGTCTCCGCCGCTTCGAAAGGCAGCGTGCCGATCACGTTTCCTGTAAAAAACCCCATGTTGATTTATCGGACTTTATCTAAGAATCTCATATTTTTAGGCATAGAGAGTTTCGCAACATCTCCATCCTCTTTTCATCTACAACCCATCATTATCCCATTATCGCTCCGTCATCGTTAGTTACATGACGATCACGATTGGTGCTAATAATAAACTTGCCCAATGTGTGTACCCGAATCTCATTCATTTCCTTCCATTTACTTCTTTAACTTTCCTTCCATGCCACTCTTAACAATTCTGCACAACGGACACGTTTCGTGTCGGATCAAATTGGCTCAACTAAATCTTGTTAGCAGGTTTCTAGCGAATGCCTATTGTATGCCCATGTCCTTCAAGGGGTGGGGGTGACTAATGATCAGCTATGGCGGGGTCTATCGTTTTGGGAGTAAAAGGGGACCCGATGGAAAATAATTTGGGACAAGGAAGAAGATAAATTGCGCGGTCGAGCAGAAACATTGAGAATTAAACCTCGAAAGCACAGATAAAGAAAATTCGTTCGGAGTGAAAGTAAAGTTTCACAACGGTTTCATTTATAGGTCGGGATTGTCGTTTCCACCTTTCGTCTAAAAAACGCTCTTCGGGCAATTATCGAATGACTTTTCCCGTATTACTATTATGAAACGACCCAAAGAAGCGATATAGTGAAAACATTAAAAAAACAGACCTGGTTTCAAATCCTCAAATGCTGATAGATACACAGAACTCATTCCATTTTTTAACAGACACGTGTGATAGGTTCGAGCTAGGAGGAGTATGATCGTTAAACCCAAGTAGGGTTTCATTTCTGAAACTTTTTTTTCTTGTTTGGATTTTAAGGAACTTCGAGACTTTGAAATAAATTGCAATCATTGAAAAATAAGTAAAACGTTTCAAAACAGACAAGGAAGACACAAAAAATCAAAAAAAAAAGAGCAAGAGGGAGGAATTTGAAGAATGACGCGAAACATCAACAAGATCTGGATTCGCTAATGTTCGGAGCTTTGTCGCTAGGCAGAGCAACAGAAAAAAAAACTACGGTTCGAATCCCAAGTGAGACAGGGATGGAAAAAGCAAGAACATACGCGGAAAGCCTGAGTGGACAGGCAGAAGAGAGCAGCTTGCGGAGAGCATATATGAGCCGGCCCGCCAAGGAGAAACGAGAGCCCCTTGTTGTTATAAGGAGGGATGAAGGTACTGTCTAGATTTTTTCGCTTGTTGCTCCACGTTTTGTTTCACGTACTTGACGGGTTTTCCAGTGGGAATATGAATATAAAAAAGTATAAAAATATTGCCTCCAGAACATAAAAGAGCCTGAATAAAAGAAAGGAATAAAAGAATAAATATAATAACTGAATAGAAAAGCGGAAGAGCTCTTCCCAAGATCGAATCTCCAAGTTTGCTGGTTAGGATATGAGTATTTGAATAGGCATAAAACAAACAAACAAGCAACATAAAGAGTAAGATTTTGATTTATGAAGCCTATGTACAAAAAGATACCAAATCTGGGGGATTGCCACTTTCGTATGTGTTATTGTCAAAAGAAGTGGCGACAGCAGAAGGATCCTAAATGGAAGAGGGGGGGGGGGGCGCCAAAGTATGCACCGCCCACTTTTCTTGCGCCGACGACTACCATAATCGGGTAGAAAGAAAAGAGAAGGAAAACGATTGAAAATGATTCATGCGATATTCATCGGAGGTCCGCCTGTAAAAAAAAGGCCAAAAAACTCGGAATCTCTTTTCTCTCTCTATGTACATAGGACTTCACCAAAGACGGTTATGAGGAAGTCGGAAGATATGAAAAAAGTAGTGAAAAGCATAAGAAGAAGATGCCCACCCATTCTGGATGGCGATCTGATAGTAAAGGCATTTTCTTTATTCATATTGAATGCAACTTTATAAGGAGAAAAATATACATATGGAAAACAAGCTTAAAGGCTAATAAAGCTGCAACGGGGCTATAAGCCCTGTACTTGAAACATATGAGACCCTCTCTCCACTTGAACCGACCCCCCGGCCTACCCCAACACCTCGCCCCCCCCCCCCCTCTTCCACCGCCAAAATGAAGGCCGCTATATGCAATTTCGGGAATTAATGAAAGCGAAAAGCTAGAGAGTGCTGGTTTGAAGAAAGAGGTTGCGGACCTATAATTAATTGCGTGTGAAACAGTGTCTTCAGAAGGAAGAGTAGGCATTTTGCAACACAACGCTACTCAAATTATCTATTGCGAAGATGGTTTTAGAGAAAATATAGACTGGAATACGAATAAGTTTGGAGAAAAAACGGAAAATTATGGATATGGAGTGTAGTTACTGTATAACTTTTAACTTTGAGCCAATTTTGTTGAGTTCTTGTCAGAGATGTTAAAAAATTGTCGACTGATAAATTCTAAATCATTATATCAGAAGTGTTTTATCTGTTGACACATTTTTGATATCTTGCATAGGAATGAGCATAATTGAGCTTGAAATTACTTGAGAGCCCTTTTATTAGAGTATTCAAAAAAATAAACTGCGTTTATCATAATGTGAAAAAGGGAAAAATTGTGAAGAAACGATTCATAAGTGTACAAACTTAAATGTGACGTTAGATTTGTCAGAAAAAAAAAACTGCACCCGAATCGAATACCGTAACTTTCGGCAGTCAGGCAGTTCGAAACTCAAACTTTGAGAGACACTGTACGACTGTTTGAATAATATTTTGAAGAAAGTTAATTGGAATTATTTCAGGTTGTTTCTCAAAATCGTGAATTGACAAACTATTGAAAATGAAGAATACCAACACAAGATTCAATTGAAAGATCTACTCACTTGACTTTTCGTACAGTATTAACTATTTTCATGCAAGCTTATTCGAAACTCTGCTTGCTGATAAATGAAATCAGAGAAAATTGAAAGAAATTCGTGAGAATGCAATTACTTTAACTCTCTCGTCTGACCAAAGGAAATAGGATCGAAAAGCCTTAAACTTTGTAAATCAAATCGTTAAATTTTTTTGCAATTCACTGTAATGAAAGAATTTGGTAAACACGAACTAAACACAAAAGGACGTGTGGTGGGAGGGATAGCTAATTGAGAGCCTCCTTCTCCTTCGTTCCTCTACTTCTCGCGATTAGGAGCGCCCCATTCCTTCACACAACCTGACATGTCGTACTGTGTGTGTGGACTTTTTTGATGCTGTGCTAAGACAAGTTGCGGTGTGCGGACAAACATAGGAGCAGCCCTTGCGCGAACGTCCCGCTGTGAGGGGCTATCGGTAATGGGACACCTCTCTTTTCTTGTTTTTCCGCCGGAGCGCGCCTACACCTGCAATTTGTGTCCTCTTTTACCATTCCACATTTTCCTCCGTGTTTTATGTGTGGTCGAAACAGTGCTCAGCGCCTCCGGGAAAGGAAGATACGGCAGAAATGGACAAGAAATTTGGGAAGAAATGAGACAACAAAAATTGATCTTCGAGGACAGATATAGAATTACAAGCACACTCAAATTGTCCATTTTGTGAACATAAAAAATCGGCGAAAGAATAGTGTGCAGTTTGAGATTTGAAAAAAAAATTCGTGAGTTCTGGAATTTAATCGGTTAGAACCTGGTAAATTGGGATATGAAACGAGATTGAAGTGAAAAGTACATAAGCAAGCCAATTTTACATCTGATTGAAAATGCATAGATGGTAAGTTTGTGTAAATAACAACGGTTGAAAAATGGACAAAAAATGTACCGACTTAAAAATTTAGGTTTCTTGAAAAGAGTTACATCGAATTTCGAATTGATATGTTGTTTTTTCATTTTCCGCAAATCAAAATTTCAGCGAACCAAAGTAAGTGAAAACATCCGTTCAATTTGCTACCGAGACTAGTGGACTGTTTGCCTGGTTGGGTGTGAAATCCAATCCACTGGATGCCAACGGTAAGGTGTGTCTGACAGCTCCAAAGAAGCGAAAGGCAAAGATAAATATGTGGTTCTTCTCGATTTGCAGGCAATGTTTCAGGAGAAAATCTATAATTTTTTTGAAATATTTAGTCAAATGTCTCACCTAGAAAGCTTCAATTTAAAGGAACACATTGTTCCAAAACCCTGTCGACACGTTCTCTATTGTTTTTCATTTTATGTTTTATTTTCCGTAATTCATTTTTGTGCGTTTCCCTGTGTGCATCTTCAAAATTATCTTGAGTATGGACGAACTTGCGGTAAGGACAAAGGCATGAGCACTCTTTGGTTCAATGTTTACCCTTCCATTTGCTTGATGAGTTATCCACGTGACCAAACTAATTAATCACAAATAGGATAGCTGGCTCGTAGCTTTTACTACTTTCTGTAATGCACACTTCCCTCATCATTTTTGTTTCTTTTTGTCGTTTTTGTTGTTTTTATGTTCGCTTCATAAACTGTTAGAAACCAAAAACCTTTGATGTCCTTTCTAAAAATGCAAATCCAGTTCTCTGTTTTTTTTCTTTTTTCTCTCCTGCCCTCATGTCAAAAAGTTACCACGTGTTTACAGAATTGAATAAAGTTGCAAGTTGTCGAATCTTGTTGAGAGTTCGACCTATAAACTTTTATGCAGCAAAAGTCGATGAACGAAAAAAATAGAGTCTCGCCAAGTAAGATCCCTCAAATTGACTTGTGAGAAGAGACGAGAAAAAAGGTGCCAGAGCATGGATATGGAATTCGGTGCAATTCGATACAAATACTCATCGCTCATGTTTCGTTTTCACTTCTTCACTTTTCGCACACTATTTAAAGATGAGGTGGTGTGAAATAATATGAAAGATCCCCACGAAACTTTAGGCCATGAAAATTTATGAAGTTGAAAAAATGAAACAGTAGTGTTGCATTTAGTCTAATAGAAATGGTAGCTTGGTCAATTTCGGAAGGTTCGGAAGAGGAAAACACGTGACAGAGAAAAAAAGAGATTTCAGCGAATATAAAATTATCTATACAAGGAAAACTGAATGGAAGAAAATTGTACTGGGAAAAGGTTTAGTTTTTCAGTGTAGCATAGAATCAAAGAAGACAATTTGGAATGGATAGATGTGAGATTTGAAGAAACAGATTTGACACACTGAAACATCATGGGGAAGGGGATATGATTACCATTGGTGCGTGTGGCAATTACACTTTTTACAAGAATGTTTCCTTAACAGCACTATCAAAGTGATTGAAGAGAGTTAGATGGCGACGGTGAACGTCATTTGATGTGGAAGCTGTACTGGCGGTGGATGTGGTCATCATGTCGGTAACATCCGATGCCAGCATCTTGTCAGCTTTCTTGCAGTCTACGCAGGAATATGATCTGATTGGAATATGAACGGATCCATTTGATTGATGGGAAACAGTGAGAGCCGATGTGGTGAGCAATCGTTGATTCTTATGATGAATTTGAGATTTTTCCGGGATGGTATCGTCTATCATTTGTTTGCTGATGATGGTGGTGAGTGACTTGCGGATGGGATTAACAATATTCTCTGGGATTTTCACAACCACGGCAACATGACCATTGGAGAGAAGTGGCTTGTTTTCCTCGTCTGTCGTGATGTCTTCAGTAGTGACACGAGAATCACGAGAAGAGCTGGTACCTGGGAATGATGGCAGTGAGATCTGAAAATAAACACGTTCATTGTATAAAGCACTTCTTTAAAATTTTAATATTTTCAAAGACCTTTTTCGGAGTCAATCTTTTGATTCTTCTCACAATTTTGGTTGACCACGAAGGATTAGAATCCGGAATTCCTAATTTTGTAGGAAAAAAGTAAACAAGAATGAATTTCGTTGTATACAACGCCTCCAACAGTTGTAGAATTATTAGTGGCGTACCAAGACACATTTTTTCCCATCATGACACAAAAATTTCAAGTCTCGAAGGCTTCATTCAAAAGCCAAGATTTTTAAATTTATTTTTTCAGACTCTTCTATTTTTCTGCTCCCCACCTTTTTCTTATCTGACATCAATCTATTGTGAACTCTTCCAACTGGATCTTCTGAAATCTCGGATCTGGCTCGGCTGCTAATATCAGTCCTCTCAATACTTCTAGCCGATCGAGAGTCATCTCGAACGACTACAGACGTGTTGCGCTCGTGGTTGGAGCGTGAGCTGAAAATTGGATTTTTAAAAACGATATTCGACGATTCGTTTGTGTCTTTTTTGTGATCCCTTCATCTACTGATCTATTTCATTTGTGACGCAACTGTGAGATGCTTTGCTCTACGAAACATGACACCAAAGTTTCCCGATCAGACCTTTTGTCTTTTTTTTTCCTCTTTTTGCTGTTTTCACATTATCGTCATTTTGTGTTGACGCTATTATAACTTAACACACTAGTGAACGTTGGAACTTTGAAATTGGGATTTCAACGAGTTTTAAACCAACTAAAAAAAAGTTCAGTTCTCGGGGAGAGAGACGAAAATGTAAGAAGCAGGAAAACAGATAGAAGACATGTTCTTCCTCCTTCCCTCCCAGTTGACTAATAGACCAATTAGCCAATCATTTATCTTCTTTTTCTTCCTAGTTTTTTCTTTCTTCCTGTTTGATCGTTTGCTCATTTGATTTTCCCTAGAAGACATGTCCCTATTATATAGGCTAGAATGCTTCAGATTAGCGAAACCTAAATCCTCAAACGGATTTATTTATGGGTTGACCACTACCGGAAATTGTCGCGGCAGTCAATTGTTTTTAGTTTTCGTGGTGCATTCAAAACTTTTTTTGAATGCGCTCGAAAACTTTTTCTTCTTTTCATCCATGTTGTGATTTCTGGCTAGACCTACCAAGTGTAGGTGTCTGGAACAATAGTGGTGGTGTAGTTGCGCGAGTACATCTGACTAGGATCCCGAAGACGGTGCATGCATTGGCATCGAAGGATGCGCACGAAGGCTTGACGGAATCTTTTATTGAAGACCGTGTAGATGATTGGGTTGATAGTACTGGAGACATATCCGAGCCACAAAAACAGCGTTCCACACCAAGATGGTAAAGTGCAGTGATGGCCACAGAATCCAACGACGAAGTTGATAAAGAAGAATGGTGTCCAGCAGACGAAGAAACATACGAAGACAACGGCAAGAACACGGGTAGCTTTGTGCTCATTGGCGAGGTCTTGGGTGGCGGTCTGAAAATTATGAATTGGTCTTTTCCTCTGGATTCTGGAGAGCAAACCCGTTTCGCTTCTGTTTTTTAGTTTTTAAGGAGACTAGAAATTTTAATCCTGTGAACTGTGAGGGCTGAAATATTAAAACTAGTTTTGGCAAATCACGCAGTAACAAAAAGTTTCCAAAGAAGAACAAGAGATCAGTTTTAGAAAAAAAAAAGAAGAAAGAGGTCCGATATGGATTTTCGAATTTTTCAAAACAAATCATATATTCCAATTGCTGTGAATTTTTTCTTACAGAGATCATTTTCGAAAAAAAAAGTGACAAGGGGTAATTGAAGGAAGTAAACCTAACCTAACTTTGTTTGATCTTTATACATCGCTTTTTTCTTCAGTTCTTTTTTGCACAAGCTCCCGTCTATCACTTCCTCCCCTCTAGCACTTTTGCTCAATTTTCAAGAAAAAATGTAGCGAAACATGTTGTAAACTGAAGACAATTCAAAAACTCTTGGGCACTCCCCGACGTCAAAAAAAGTTGTGAGTGCTCAGTGACGAAATTCGATATGAGATTTTTTTTTTGAAAAATGCAAAAAGAAAAACAGAGATGAAGACCTACCTGAAGAGAACTGCGACGGTTGACTTTATTGGTGATGGCGTTATAAAGATCGGATGTTCTGGTCTTCCATCTGTTGATCGTCGACGCTTTCTGTAGCGTCTTGTGGCCATTGCGATTGATGGATGGGCGGTTTGTGCCCAGTCGATCAGAGTCTCCGTTCTCGATATTCTCAATGTTTGACATGGTCCGTCCATGTGCTCCGATGGCTCGTCCGTTGACATGTGTTCCGTTGACCTGTGCTGAGTAGGTTCTGGAGTATCCCAACTTCCGATGATTCATTGTTCTCCGTAGCCCATTGCCGTTCGACCTATCGTCAGCACGTTGGCTTAAAATTGACGCTTGCTTTTTCAAAAGCTTTGTGGTCTTGGTGTAGGTGATGGACATGATCCCAAGAGGAATCAGGAATGTCATGGTGGAGCCGTAGATAATGTAATAGCGACTGAATATCATGCATTGATTGTCCTGTAGAATGTTGTTCTGATCTATAACCGCTAGAGCCGCTATAGGACAAGAAACCAGTAAAGTTGCTACCCAAACAAATGTGATTTTGAGAACAATCAGGGTCCGAGATCGGTTCCGACTTCGTAGAGGCTGAGAGATTCCGAGATAGCGATCCAGTGAGATGACCGACATATGAACAATGCTAGCGGAGCAGAGAAACACGTCCGAGTAGATGTACAGTAGACATAGTGACATACTCCAAGTCCATACCCCTGAATGATAATGTGTTAAGGTTAATTGTTGAAAAAGGAAAATGTTTATTTTTTTGGTGACTCAAACGGGATTACTTTAGCCAAAAAAATGAAATTCGTTTCCATTTAGCCTTGATAAATTTTCGAAAATCTCCATAACCGCATCTGACTCACCATGCTTAACTTCCACGACTATGCTCAACGGCATAACAATGCAACAGACGAGAAGATCCGCTAGAGCTAGTGAGAACAGGAAGTAGTTGGTGACATTATGAAGCCGTCGGTCAGTGGCAATGGCGACGCACACCAAAAAGTTTCCAACCAATCCGATGAGGCACAAAACCGGCAACAAGAACAGTGCGAACCCATTAATATGATAGATTCCCATTGGTGGGATAAGCTGAATTCTTATCGACCATACGCTCGTTGTGGAGAAGTGTGGTGCGACCACAGTCGTCGCGAATGATTCTAGATTTGTAATTTTTATTTAGGAGGAATAATTGAATAAAAATAGATCAAATCTTTCTTTCAGTGGGAAGAAGCTTTGATGCACGATCTAGATTAAATTAATCTAGGGTGAGCTTTTTCTTTCTTCTAACTATCTTCTCCCCCACGCAACAATTCAATTGGTTCTTGTTGATAAAACGGGAGGGGAGAAGACTGAATAAAGTAGATGACGAATAAAAATGGCTGAGTACAAGAAAAAAAGGGGGATGATGATGTTTCCGAATGTCGTTCGTTCTTATAGAGGAATAATCCTCTAGGATTCGTTTTTTTTTCTTTTTTTTTCGCTCCCTATCGTCAAAGGTGAATGAAGAACAGGAAGAACGAGGGGCAAATAGCTCAGGGCTGACAGGAAAAAAGCGAGGAAAACGAGAGGAGAGAAGAGAGAGGATGATTTTGAGAGCAAGCTCCGCCCATTTTTCCTGGTTTTCAGTTTCGTTTCATGTTTTTAGTATGGTTTTCCAGAACATGAGGCAACATCTTAGGCAAACAAATTTTGTGGTTTAGAAAATTCAGAAGGTGAAAATAATTTGTAACTTTTATAACTTCGAAAAAAACAAAAGATAGTTATTGAAAATAATCAAATAGGTCTTCTGAACTCTGAACTTATTCAACTCTTCATTTCATCTAATCTTTTTTTAATCGTTTCTAGATACTTCCCGCAAAGGTCAGTAGATCTATTTTCGATAGATCTCTGGAGCCAGCTTTCTCTAATCTCTAAGTGTTCTTATCTCAAAACTTTCATTTAAAGAAAAAAAAATCTGCAAAATGACTTTCCTATAACTCTTAGATCTCATACAAAAGTGGTTGATTTTATTTGGGGTTATTGGATACCTTTTTGTAATAGTACACGTACAGTGTGGAATGTTTTTTGAGACTTCTCGAGATTTTAGGGTTTGATCTGCTCCACCCGATATGAGGTAACCAAGTAAACAAAACCGTTTCTTGTATGTATACTCAGAACATGCTATATATCGGAAATAAGAAAAAAATTCAATCAAAAATTTCTTAATCAGACTTATATGAATTCCCTTGTTGTGTCTCTTGGGGGTGTCTCAATGTTTCTGACGAACGAAAAAAATCTGGTGGGTGGTAAAAAGAAGATGTAGACCCTAAACAGGCTTAAAAAAGACGGTGATTGAATATGCACGCGCGTTAGGTATGCGCATAACTTCTTGAGTTTTCCCTTCATCCTCTTCTCCTTACTTTTTTCGCCGCTAAAGGGCTTTTGTTCGTCAAAGATCCTGAAGCCTAGTCCTAACGACAAAAACGAAAAACAGCATCATCACCATCACCCAAGGCTTCTTTTTTTGTTGGAAAAAGAATAGAAAATAACCCTTTGAGAAAAAATCAACGAAGAAAAAATTAATACAGTTACTCACCATTCGCAAATGCTGCGTAAGGATCCTCAGGCGGCGCAGCGTGCGAAAAAAATTCGACGTGCATCAGAGAGTGGTCCTCTCTACTTTGTTCTGAAACAAAAGAAGAAAAAAATTTCACGTAAAATCAAGGAAATCGAAGGGACAACCCGCTAATTGCGATGTCGATGGGCGTAGGCAAGATGGGAAAATGGGGCAAATGGGACAGAAAACGAAAAAAAAATGTGTGAAACAAACGGGCATACAGGAAAACGAAGGTTGTTGCATAAGTAAGGGTCATTAGTGAAGAGAGCGGTCATTTCCAAGTGCCAATGCACTTGTCAGACAATCATAAGGTAGGTGCCGAAAAACAGATACCCTAGAAAGCAATTCTGGGAAGCGCCAAACGAGACAAAGATGAAAGTGGCCGAGAGTTTTGTTTCCAACAGCTTTTTTATGAGTGCCGACCTACTGGCAAACAACACAACGTCAGAAAATGAGAAGAAGCAAGGGGAGCAAGTGGTAAAAACGCTCAGCCGAGATTTTGAAGTGGGTGGTCTGTATGGTGGGATGGGAGGATATCTTGTATCTAACTACATGTATAACTCATTTGGCGGCTTTCTGTCCAGGCGCCGAACAGTACAAAGAGAAGAAAAACTTTGGTTTCATTGATCTTACGGTAGGTCAAAAGTTAGAAAAACGATAAATACATATACGTTTCAGATTGAATCAGGAGGCCCTGTTGTTTGAAATATAAAGAAATATTATATATGAACTTCGATAAACTCGCTGTAACTCTCATTTGGTTCTTCAACTGCTGGTTTGTCTAGAGATCATGTTGGACAATGAATATTTCAAAATTCTAAAAATCTTCCCGGATCTCATGAACAGAAACAAAACAACAACAAAAAGATACCCCTAGAAGCGACAAATGATTCATGAGACGGCTGAGAACAAGGAATTCGAAATTCTTTGAAAAACTTTTTTTGCTGTGATCATATTCAAAGAACAGGATATCCTAGAGCAATAAAAAACGGGGAAAGGAATATTGTGAGATTCATTTCAATTTATCGAGAAAAAAAAACTTTGAACGCGGTGTGGTGCACCCACGCTTTGGAAAATAAGGTATCGAAAAGGATTTTTTCATTAAAACGACTGGAAACTTTTTCTCATCGCCCCAACATTGGCACAAGTTCGAAACAATCATCAAGCCCGATTTGTGCAGGAAATTGAAAAATAGACAACCAAAAATTAAAATTCCTCACTTCCGTCTTTAGAATGGGAAATGAAAAAGTTTAGTTTTCTCAAAAGAAGAGATAGAGAGGAACTTTCGAAAAAAGTAAGCGTCATGAAATTTAGGTAAGTACATGCTGCTGCTACCTTTCAAGAATGTTCGCGTGTCACTTTGTGTGATTAGCATGTTAGTTGGGACGCGTTTGGATAGATGAAAAGTCAGGGCTACTTTCACTGATTGGTTCTAGAACAGACTAAGTTTATGCAGGAACAATGAGAAACAAGAAAAGAGCAGAAGCAACGCGGAGCTGCAAAAAAAGGAAAGAAAGGGAAGAAGAATTAATTTGAAGGCGCGTGAGGGAAGAAGAAAGGGAGGAGCTTCCCGCGTGAAAACGAAACTTTTTTGTGGTAAGGTCCCTCCAATGTTTGTCTTTCGTTCACCAAATATGTGTGACCTCTAGCATTTTTTGTCATGGAAAATTGAAATATTCGTCGTTTTCTCGTGAAGAATTGAAGATCAGTAAAAAGAGGAAGGAGAACTTGAAAAAAAGGAGGAGCATGAAGGAGAAAAAGGGATCGGGACGAAGAAAAAGAAGAAGAAAGAAAAAGTGAGGAAAAACGTTGAGTTGGCCCCGCCCATTTTTGTCGCCGCGTCCTTTCTCCTCCTAATATATTTGCTTTTTGGACTTGAGACAGCACATCAGCACTCCTGATGAGCGACAGGCTATCTATCTATCTACAGAAAAATATTTGGGAGAGTATGAGAAAATAAAACGCACAGTGTGTTCTGTGTTGGATGATAAGGTGCTTCCTGTTTTTTTTCGGTTGACAAAAAAGAAAATAAGGGGGAAAAGGACAATAGGAAATGACGGTGAGCTAACTGGGTGACGCTAGTCTCTGAAAAAATTCAGACAAGAATAAAAAAAAAATAGGAAAATATGATGAACACTAGGATCAATAGGAAAAAAGGAACACAATACAAATAATTGAATTTGGGGATAACAAAATAAGGCTGGGCGCCGTATGAGTAGATATTCAAAAGCCAAGATGAGTTAGGATTAATCATAATTGTTCAAAATGCTGTAAACTTGGAACTTTCATTCGATGTTTGCGAAAACATTAAAAATTGTAAAATTGTTTTCCTAGTGTTTTTTGAGGGTACGAGAGATTCGAACGCTCCTAAAATCGAATGCAACACGGAAAAAAAATGTTTCGAATTAAAACTTCCCTTTTCTCAAACAAGTCCTGAACAGAACAAGGACAGAATCGAAATGTTCCATTTTGAACAGATCGTAGTCGAACTGTCCCAAATTTGAACACTGTGAGCCGTGGAGCGGGCTGGCATTCAGTTGCAAAAAAGTTCCTCTTCGATACAGTCCGACTCCGTTCTGTTCGAATTGGAACATTTACAAATTTGTCACTATCGAGAAAATTTCAAAATTTCAAAAACTTAGCGTGTAAGAAATTGAATAACTCAGAAACTGTTAAAAAACATAAATTCCGAACGATCTTGCCTCTTCAAACTTTTGGTGTTGCGAATTGCTCAAAATTCAAAATATTTGTTCAATCCTTCCATGTGTGTTCCTCAAATCCTGCACACCACCGCTTCAACAACTAAACTTCATAAAAAGGAAAATTGTGTTTTGGAGAGCTGTTTTGCTCAATAACCTCAAAAACTAGCCAAAATACGGAACGAACCAATTCTTAGTTATTTTCTGTCAACGATTGGCGCAACCAGCGAACCAGAGGTTAATTAAACCGATCAAGTCAATTTTTCTTTGGTCTAGAGAAATGCAGCAAAAGCATTTACCGGTAGTAGGAATAAAAATAATTAAGCTGACCGAGTAGGAACAACAAAGAAGACTTATGTGCAAGTTATGATCAAAATAGAAGAGCCGTCATGAAGATCTGACAAAAAATACTTATAAAAATTCTTAATAATGAGTGTTGAATTGGTTAGTGGTTCACATCGAGGGCATTAATTGAAAAAATGAAAATTGAATTCTGAAACGTTTTTGGTGTTTGGGGTTGGAATACTTTAATGGTTATTGTTTACTGGGTTTTTGAAGGTTGTTAGTGTTTTTCAATTGTCGCTTTTTGATCTTACATTTCATATGCAAATTTAATTTGTCAAAATGAATAATTTGAAATTTTTCATGTCCGTGAAAATGTTTTTTGGATCCGAGGATTCCTGAATCCCGTTTCTTAGAATTCCCAGAAATGATGGATGCTCAATAATCAAACGTTTGAAGTTTGGAAGAAGCGGCAAAGAAGAGGAAAAAAATCTGGGATGCAGGAAGAAAAAAAACTGATTGATTCGGCTTCCTTCTTCTTTTTTAAAAATTGCCCTCTGGAAAAAAAAGTTCGCTTTTCTTTCTTTCCCAATACAAAAAAAATTATGCTCATTCATCATTGCAGAACGAAACTGGAGGGGTTTACTTTTCTTCGTTTTTTTTCGCCTTTTCTCAGAAAGATACATCATTCGATTAATCAACTTCGAGTTGCTTTGGGGGGCCGCTAGCGTCAGAAGTTTCGAACTTCTTCCATCTCGAAGTTGGGGAAAAAAGAGAAAAGATGCTTGGGGAGTCTATAGAAATTGCCGATCAAACCCACTTGAACAATTTTTGATGTTCACTGATTAAACAGATCCGGGAGAAGGATGCATTGTCTGATTCAGTGATCAATCTGTGTATTGGGCGGATGAACACCCACACACAGAATGTACACTGAAGAAAGTTTGAACTAAGATACCGTATCTGCTCTAATAGAAGCACGCCCAAACAGTCAACTTAGAGTCAACTATTTGGATTCATATCGAATATATCAAAAATCTATCAAAAATCAAATTATTTGTGATATAATGAAAACTAACTTAACTGATAACTAGTAGAAAAATTTTTGACTGTTTACATGGGAATCAAGATAATAGAGTTTAAAGTTAAAAATTTTGAATTGGATTCTATTAGAGAAATTACGGTATTAACAAGGATAATTCTAAAGTTCTAAAGCCGAACCGAAAATCAAAAACGAAACTTTGTAGTTATCATTCCTATATATAGTACTTCATTATTGTTAATACATAGAATACGGTTTTAGCAACGGTAGTTTGGACTACTGTAGAAATGATTGGAATGAATTGTTCATATTTCAGAGTTTTAAGACTAATACTAGTTTTCAATTAATTATATTTTTAATAAACGTTATGACGTAATTGTGAGAATAATATTCCACGAAACAACTCAAGATATTATTTCACATTTCAAAAAAATACTTTTTCGAACAGTTGGATCCTGAAAATCTGGCGGAAGAAAGAACACTACCACTCTTCGACACTTCACAATCGGTGGCTTCTTCATCTAGTCGTCAGAAACAAAAATCGGTCTCGTTAGAAAACAATGATTTAGTGTGATGGGAGTATTTGATGGGAGTATTTGATGGCTAGCTCATAACAAACACCTTGTTTTCAAAAAAAAAGAATGAGAGGGTAAGCTCTTTTTTCTGAACAATTCTAGTCAATTGGATGTGGATTTTTAGTGGTTGTGATGAAGTGTTTAACGAACAAACACCAAAAAGTTTATTTTTTCTGATGAATGTCTCCAGTTATTGTTCCATATTACTCAGAAGAGCGGAAGAATCGTGGAAAAGACCTCTATGTGTGTAGAATGTGAAACATCAAAAAGTGCTTTTTTCTTCTCATTCGGGAACCACCAAAAGAATCAAGGAGAAAAAGAAAAGGCACAAGAAAAAAGGGCAGTCACGACAAGAGAAAGTGGGGTTCTGTTTCCGGTGGCATCACTTTTTGGGTTGCCCAGTATTTTTAGAAGGGGTGTCCGAAATGTCTAAAATAAAATAGGAAACGAGAGCCCGAAAAAGTCAAGAAAAACTGGAGTTAAGAACGCTGTCAGCGTCATTTTGTAGGAAAAAAGAACACAGAAGAAAGAAGATGCGTCGGCGCGACGATATTAAATCATAAATAATCCGATGAGTTTGGAATAAAGGAGGAGATGTTTGAAAATTGAATTGTAAGTCTACAACTCTTGTTCCGGATGGACTAGAAAAGAAGCGTCCGTCTCAATAAGCTCATTAAAGTTTTGGAGTTGTCACTTAAAATGATAAGAACTGCAACACGAATAAGAGCATGATAATTGATGATCAAATCTGAAACATGAAGTTTCAGACAGAAAAAAGTGGTCACACTGGGAGAATAGATGTTTCATTAGGCAGTTTAACAAAATATCGTATTTCAGGATTAGATCTTTGATATTTTGAAATTCTGAGATCCTGAAACGTTGAGATTAGGTTTCGACATTTTCAGATCGTAAAATTCCTCGAGCCAATGAGACTAACTTTCGGAGGTTTCTGTGCTTTTGAAATTTACGGATTCAGAGAAAATTAGTTTCTTGGATTCTGGCAAGTCGTTTTTTTTATTCCGTCAATTGTCTGAAGGCAAACTTACCTGGAACTTCTGCCGAGCTTACTTTTAGAACTAAAAGAGTAAGCTCGGCAGAAGTAATCAGACTCTTTGATTCCCATAAAACTGGTCCCGCCCACTGAAAGACCGGGATACGGATTTAATCAAGTCCGAGTGACTTGAAATGTGCTAAAGAGGTCAAAAAATGTCTTTATGGAGTTTTAGATTAATCAAACCTGGTACTAGACCAAAACCAAGAAATTCCAGGAAATTCAATTTCAATTACTAGTAAGAAGATAAAATGTATTCTGGTCCAATACACGAAAATTCCTGAAAAACAGCATGGACAACAACGGAGACAGAAATAAAAATGGAATGGAAGTACACATACACACACTATGTTTTCAATTATAACCCTTTACTGACGGTGACAATTATTTCCAATTTCCTTAGCAGTGAAGAACAAGGAGAAATTTCTGTCGGCAACACTTTTTTTTCTCCTGTGCTGCTACCAACTTCTTACGTGATTTTGTTTGGTTTAAAGAAGGGACAGGAAGGACCTTCTTTTCCAGAGCTGGTGGTAAAAGGAAGAAAACGGAAGAGTCTGCTCCTTACAAGTTTCCTTGTTTGGGACCCAGATGACGAACCCTCGACACATTCATGACAATGGAAAGAAGGGACTACTGACAACTGAAAAAAGACGGGTTGAATACATCCGTAAATAAGTAATATACCGATGAGCACCCCAAAGGCTTACAGAGAAAAGAAAAATGTGGCGACAAGGGAAACGGGTAAAAACAGAACAAAACAGAACAGAGAAGAATGAATAATTTCAGACCGGAAGGCCAAGGTGATCAGAAAAAAAATGGAAGTGGGTGGTGGGTGATGAGAACAGGGAGTGAAAAAACAAGAACAATGGTACTGCTACTGCAAAGAGTCTGATTTTGACAGCTCGTGACACCTCGTTGTTTGAAAAGAAATAGTAATGCCTCTTCTCCTTCAAACTACAGAGAGTTCAAGAGCTTTTCAGAAATGGAGAATGATGCGTGGGGCGAGAGCACTTAAAAATGAGGTTTTCAGGAGGGACTTAGGGGATCTTCTCTTTCAAGAAATTCGCACGCAATCTCCGTTTACCTATTTCTCTGAACCTCGACTTTCTGGGGGGAATTTCTTCTTTTTCCTTTTTTTCACACCAACTATTTTTGGCATCTTTGATGCTATTCTCAACCATTGATGATGTATCAACGCCCTCGCGCTTGTGCTCTTGATTGCACACAAACACACCAAGTTGTGATGAGTGGCTAATAAGTGTGTGATAGTTTTAGGGAGGACCTTCACGTATTCAACATGCAAAGAGGGATCCCTAGGTCAGGTCGTTTGAGGGACCAGCGGAGGATTTTCGTTTCAAAAAGTCACGTATTGGCGACATTCGTATGAGAAAATGAAGGATTTTGGCATAAAAAACAAAAACTGAAGAATTTCGGAACAACCAATGGGTAGGGAACATTCCTAGTTGTAAGATAAATAAATAGACAGGTGTCTCTATACTTCTTTGGAAGTCATACCATTTTTCCCAGAAGAAAAATCTGTCTGACCAAATTTGATCTGCCATAAAATTATAACATTTTTTGTCTGCCAGGTCTTAATCACAATTCAAAAACTGTTAATTCAAAATTTAGAAATTAAAAAGTAGTTTCAAAATTGGTTTTTAATGAGATCGCGTCGTAGGCGCACCAGCCAGACTTTTGAGGCGCGGGAGCCGCGGCAAACAGACTGGTCTTATGAAATAATACGTTTTTTGAGAAGATCGGTTAGTTTTGTCGGCTAAACAACATATTCAAATGTCAACGTTTTGTCAGGAACAGCTACCAGAATAGGTATTAAGAAAACTCTCCATGCAGACAATCATTCCATTTGTAAGAGTTCTTGTCTTGAATTTTTTCCAAAATCAGAGTCAAAATTATCACGAGAACGCCGAATTTCTAGAAAGCCCTAACAATCACCGTTGACTGGAAATCAAATTAGCGGTTGTGACGCTCCAGTATGTGTCACCTGAACAGTCCTTCTCGAAAATGGATAGAACACTGGATAGAACACTTCTCACAAATCAGATCGTCCTAGAAAAAAAATTTGTTTAAGCTGAAAAAGAAGGCAATAAATTCCACGAACTTCCACTCAAATTTCGTGAAATTTAATAGAGCATCTAGGAACAGCAATTTCAAGGGAACACGAAATCTGTCGTCACGAACGCGCTTCAAAAAATTCTATTGTGCTCTGATGTTTTGTTCGATGTAGAGTAAATCCTTACATAACAAGAAAACTGGCTCAAAAGGAAATTTCGGGACAATCCGTGTTCTGTTTGTGAGTATTTTTTCCTTCCCTTTCTTAGAATCAGACTTGTCATGTACTTCAGAAATTAGATTCGGATTTTTATAGCAAAAATTGTGAATTTGAAAAATAAAAAAGCATGGAATGTACCATTTTCGGGATTTTCGAAAAAAAATCTGTTAAAACTTGGGATCTTTGTAGAACACATCCATGTTTTGATCTTGAGGATCTGATGCACTACACTAACTCGATTAGCTGCATAAAATGGAGAAAAAGCATCACAAAGAAGGAAAATCCCACTTTTCAAAACAAAAAAAAACACGCACGCACTCACTGAACCTCTTTTTCCTGCCATTCACTCGAAATTGGAATTGACTAGACATGATGATTTATCCAGGACAGATTTTTTATGATGGTGACGGAAGCTAAAAGTAGTTTTGAGAATGTGGTTAGGAGTTAGGTAGGTACGGCAAATAGGGGAATAATTAGAATGTTCGAGTGGCAAATGAGCACTTCCTGTTATGCGGCGAAAAGACTCGCGGTTCATTTATATGTGTGAACTGCTGAAAAATTCAAATTTCTGAATTTCCTGTCTGGGACTATGAGTAATAAATAGTTAATCACGAAATAAAAAGCTTGAAATGGAAAATTTTCATAAATTTTTTCATAAAAATTGCGACAATTCGAAAGAAGATATTATCAAAATCTGACATTTTAGAGTCAACTACATGTGAATTTCTTTTCAAATCGAAATGTAAGATGTAGAACTTGAAAAAACCTTTAAAATTTTATCTTATTTATTAATTTCGGGGTTTAAATTAGAGAAAAGAACGAGCCGAGCCGATTTTGCCGGCCCAGCTATGTCACAACCTTTTGGATTGAATCTCAGCATTCAAATATATTTGCGAGTCAAATAGAATTTGGTGTATCTTGTCAAGTTCTAGGTTTCAATTTTTAATATGGCAAGAAATTCCAAGTTCGAACAAAGATTTCATAGTTGGACCTAGTAGGCTCGGTTGGTAGATATGGTTCCAGTCTATCGGTATTCAATTTTTTTTTAATTTTGTCAATTTTGTATTAGTTTCAGTAAGACTCACTTTCAAAACGTCAGCAAACGAAATGTGTTCATAATTTCAGAAATTGGAATTCAGGCGTTCTTTACCCTTTAGATCCGCTACAGTAAGATCGTCTCTGCTTTCCAAGGATCTAAATTCTCAAATCTCTGTGACTTCTCATAGACTCCTATCAAGAGTCATTATATGTTTTCTTTATTAGGTATTACGGTAGCCCATGATGTCTGACCCATTATCATCATCTTTCCTCACTGTCACATTCAACAATTCAGAACATTAATCAACGCCATCCGAATGGGGTTTCTATCGTAACGAAGGAAACTTCAAATTATTTTTCTTTCAATCAAACGTTTTATTAGGCCATTGAGATCGACGAGGGACAAAAAAGTCTGTTGCAAAACAAGAAAAATCGACACATGTGATAACAGAAGGAGTACGGTAGTTTGTCATACATACAAAATTTGAGGGGTCTTGTCAAAATTCCAACTAAATGTGACTTTCAATTTTTTGCTACTTCGACTTGACTAATTTATGGGTTTTTGAGTGGAACTAGAGGAGAACTGATGAGAAGGATTAGGAGATACAGTAACCGGGAGAACAAGAAATTTAGAATTTCGGTCCTTGAGTCGTTATAGAGAGTCCGTCGATTTTTCGATTCCAGTGAATCCTCTCTGATGATCCTTCGGAGCTTGAAGACTCGCTTGAAGACCTCGAATCTGTTGTATGAACCTTCACAGGGAAACAAATGGATAGATTGGAAACCAGTAGGAAATTATCTCGAAGTTTCTTGGAAATTGTGATCAGCACCAAGATAAGGGCGATGAACATGATTGGAATTAAGGTAAGCTGAAAATGAACCTTTTTGATGAATGCTGATTTTGTTCTGGATACCTGTAATTCGGGGTAGAACGAATACTCGATAACTTCACTTAACACTTGATGAGTCACTACTGTGTCTTCGTTGTAAATGGTGTGAAGAGGATGAGAATCTGTGAAAAGAACATGTTCCAGCTCAATCTCGAGTAATTTTGAGCTCACCAATTCTGAAGCAAACACCATCAGACACAGAACGAGAATGATCGGCGCCTGAACATTGACTTATTAAGTTTCCTCTTATCATTAGCCGTTATCAATTTAATCCCGATGATTTTTTTTTCCCGATGATTTTTTTCATTTTCTAAGAATATGATATTTTGGAATGGCGTGGTTTTCTAAAGAGATAACGTAATGTATCTTCTCCGAAAAGATAGAGATCAGAAATTGAAGGTGTTCCCCCACCCAGACCATACCATTATATGAGTCGTTGACATGTTTTCATGCAAATTGTACCTATCCAAAACGACTTGAAGATGGCTGTTCCCAATGATCTTCTAGAAAAAAGACTGGGTGTGGTCGTCTGTGTGACTAATTATTACTTTTCTGGTATAGTTGATGATCCAGAGAATGATGAAAATGAAAAAGGCGATGACGTTGAGAATAGTTTGCCACATGTTCATAGAGTGGTAGAGCTTGTAGGCGTGAAGCTGAAATGGATTGGAGTCTCAAAGATGTTAAAAAGGGGATACTGTAGCAAAAATGTAATTTTTATGCACAACCCTTTACCTCTGGCGGCGAATACGGATACATCTGTTTTGGTGTGTGCACATTCCAAATTGGGAGGAAGCTGACCAGAATCTGAAATGATCGTTAACTTTAGTTCTCGAACGAACTAATCATTCCATCGTCTTCCTTCTAAGTCTCATTTCTCTAAAATCCCATTACATCTATTCTTAGATCGAAGCGACCATAGATGGTTGACCGCGACGTTGAGAGAATGAAGATATAAAAAAAGAAACAGAAGAAAAAATCAAAATGAACGTGTTGTTCGCAAATTCCCTGACTCAAAAATCACCAGTTCTAATTTGATTAAAAGTTGATACCTGGATAACGGCGAGAATCGATCCGAGTGTAGGCTTTGAAGAGTAATTGCGGTAGAAAATTGTAGCCACAGTTCGTTCAACAGCCAACGCAATTGATGAAGTGGATAGACACATTGCACCTAGGATCTCGATGTGGCGGATCACTGGAAAATTTGAATTTCTTTATTTTCAAAGAGTTTGTTTAAAGTCAAAGATTACCAATTCCATATTGCGGGTTGAATACTTGAAAATCGCATTGCATATAATTTGGCATGACATTGGAAATGAAAAATTTATAGAGACAATCCACGAGAATACCTGAAAAAACATCAGGGTATTCAAACCCCAAAAAGTGAACCTACCAGTGTTACAAATAATTGCAGAAATACATAAAACAAGGAGAATGACTTTTGTGTTTATATGAATCCCTTTTGTTTTCACAATCGTCGCTGACAGCATACCCATTCCCATTGTTGCCAAGGGAGCGGTCAGTAATCGGAAGAGAATCGAGTATTCCATGAACGTTGATCCATAGATGACGTCAGCTGTTCCGCACAACTCGCATCGCGTACAATTCATGTACTTTTTGTCCATACTGAATATCCGAGTAGAAATATGTTTATTTTTTGAAAAATACGCATTGTCGGGGATTAACACCAAGAAAAAATGAAACGTGTTTCGATCAGCGAATTGATAAGAAAAATGGAGGGATAATCAGCTGATAAGGGATATATCATGGCTTAGTCAATCGCAATTCTCTTATCTCTCTTCTATTTTTTTAGGGGGTTTGACATTGAGAGATCGAGACGGATTTAGAAATGGAGGAAGTTAAAAATAGAACGGTAGTCTACGGATATCAGGGGCTGAGTTAGTAGTATAAAAGATAGAAAAATTACCGGTAGTTGAGACATTGTGAGAGTGGATGGGAAAGTTTTAAGAAAGCGGTGGGAGAGGAAAGCGAAGAAAAAAAACCATTTCAATTCTGTTTTTCGATTCTTTTCTCCTTCTGATATGAGAAGGGGTTGACCGATAATGGGGAATTTACGTTTGTTTGAGTGTATGTGTGTGATTCTATGCGTATGATTGTGTCTTGGTGAATTGAAATGGAATGAAGAAGATAAATGTGAAAGAACTTCAGTTCTAAACTTACTGTTACTGTTATTTTCATCTCCTCGCGCCTCTTAATATTTCTCTTTCAATTTGAAGGGGGTTTTGGACAACTTCACCATGACAGATTTAGGAGAAGGTCCTCGGATATATAAATGTGAATTCTGAATATAAACACGAGGGTTATAAAAGTAGAAAAAAGATCAATTCCTAGGAGCTAGAGATTGAGAGACGACAAAGAAAAGAACTGGTCTGTTTCTCTCCAGAAGAGTGAGTGATATGAATGGCTTTTTGTAGGACAACTGAGAAGCAAATGAGAAGAAAAAGAAGAAGCTGACGTCCATCTTCTACGTCCATCGATGGTGAGAGACGGTGATGGAAGGCAGAAGGAAAAGTGATAGATCTTGCCGCATAGTCCAGCATATTTTCTCCCATCGGCAGCACTGTTATGGATCCATAGTAGATCATCATCCGTCGGATAGAAAGGGGGGGGAGGTATATCTTATCAAAAGAGATGACAAAAAGTACACGAAAAAGGGAAAACGTTTTTTTTTTCGTGTCATCCGCCTATTCGAACAAAAAAATGGTGTTTTTACCGGACCGATCAATCACTCGATCAGTTGTCAATGTAGAAAGTGATAGTGAGACACGTTTTTATAGTAGCCGGGAGTACGCCCATTTTTTCGTTCAGTTTTATGACTGGTTACGGTAGTGTTAATTGGTTTTTGAAGGATGGACATACGGCGACCAATCCCAAGAATAGAGAGGGGCAGATTCAAAATCATTTAGCAAGGAAACAGTGAAAGTGATGGAACCACACAAAGCGGAAGAACATTTTTCCCCAAAAAAAAGTGATGAGTGAGATTGAAAGGTGCTCTGCATAATCGGATATGAAACAACGTGGAATTGGTTCCAAAAAGAAAATGGTTGAAGCTGTAAAAAATTTTCAAAGCGGCCGGATTGGATCAAGCTTAGACTTTTTGTTTACCATAGTAGTGTAATAAACGAATCGTTTAAGAGAAGCATTTAGATGAATCTCGAAATTTTCTCTGAGGACGAAAAATAATTATCCATCTACCGAATTGTTTAAGTTTTTAAGTCGAGATTTTCTAAGCTTCGAATTGGGTCTGCTTTTGTGTTCTTTACAAGATTACGAACTACAATGATCGTTCCAAAAAATTTTCAAACTATACCTTTCAATGCATAATCAAACCAAAAAATCAACATGTGAACGTCCTTCTGTTTCTTTGGCGGCTTTATCTCAATCCCTCTTCTTCCTCAAGGTGAGTGACTGACCAGAATCGTTTTCACTTTCAGACAACCTCGCATTGAACCTCGTTTTGCTTTCCATTCCCCTCTGTCTCTCCTTCTCTGTAATAACTTCTATAACTACCACACCCTTGCTTCTGCTAAGAAAAAAACAGAGTGCGTCATTTGCCATTCTATTGTACCTATTATCAGTATAGTTGGTTTTCAGGATACAATTCATAGTTTGTTTCTAGTTGTGTTGCCAACTCACCTATTGTGCTCTTGTTATTATTTATTCTCCTTATCTGCCGGGGCTCACGAGAATCAAAAGTTCATTTGGGTCAAATTTGTTTGCTCTCCTCTCTTCTTACCTCTTATCCTCCCTGCTATCAATCAGCTGGCTCGACCACCTACAAACCCTTTTTTTCTCTATTTCCTCTTATCTTTTCCTTCCGACTCAAGAAAACAGAAGCCAGCACACAGAAAGAACTGCTCAAGGGAAGTCTTCAAAAATGAATGTAATGTAGTTCTATCATCTTATTTCTCGCCTTTCGTTTTATTTCTTTTTGTTCTTTTTTCTCATCTGCTTCTCATGTAGATGAATATGCCAGAATTATCCTCTTTTTTTAAAGAATTTCCGACTGTCCTAGGAGACCTATGACTCTTATTCTCTAAGATAAATGTACCGATGACTTCTTCTTCACCACCGCCCCTATTTGGAATGCAATTGTAAGGAATACTCCCCAATTTTTAACTCCCGGTCAATTTTCTACCTTAATCCAATCTTCCATCACCCGGTTTTAGCTTACCTTTTCCCCCTTTAAAAAAAAAATATCTTGCCAACCTTACATGTATACCATTTTCTTCCCCATTCTCTAGGTTCATTTCGTTAGGGATTTTATCTAGAACTCCCGTTATAACTTTTGTGGCATATTTTCTTCTGACCAATAAATTATCAATTATCAAATATCAAATTTTCTCAGACTCTCCGGCAGTTTTTCTTTTTTCGGTTTTGCGAATATTTGATTGACAGCTCTATGCAAAAAATGGTAATGTAAATAAATCATTGATAAGGTTTCTAATTTCAGATACGAGGGGTGATGGAAAAGGTTCCGAATGAAATCTTGATACAGATTCTGGAAAAATGTGATACTGCAGACTGGATAGGTTTCAGGGCGGTGAGTCTTCTGAAAAAGTTTGCTAAATAACTCCAAATGTTTCATTCAATGAATTTTGAAATTATAAATCCATATTTATAAATTACCGTATCTCAATATCTCTGTGACTAGTGATTTTTTGAACCGTATCGATTTGTACACAGTAATCCCATGTTTTCTATTCACTTTAGAGTTCTTTTTTCTAGTTCCAGTTTCACTGTTGGATTGGATTTGTCATTTGCAAGATTTAAAAACGAAATACTTTTACTCGTCTTCACATTTCCCCTTCGACCTTCTTTGTCTGAAAAAAGATGCCTATCTTATCTCCAAATCGAATCTCGTCTTACTTCTTGCAGACGTCAACACGAAACCATGCCGTTGGAAGCTATGTGCTAGGCAAGTCCCAAACTTTCGATTTCCGTCACTATAACAATCACTGTCACTATGGAATTTGTCGTTGTCTTAATGTGGAAAATGATGAGAAGATAAATGGCACCAATTTGAATCCAACCAAGGTGATAAATCACTTTCCATCATTACATGACGCATCTAAAGTCCGCAAATATTTTTTTTTCCTATTTCTTCCTTTTCAGATGATAAATTTTATGGGATTTCTACCAAGTCTTCGGAAGATTGTGCTTGCTGATCTACCATGTGTATTAACAATGAGCGATATGATAAAAGTGGGAACTCTGAGATCGATGTATAAAAAATTGATTTGGTTTGGTTTCAGCTCGGGAAATCGGTTCCCAATGTTCAAAAAATCATAATTATCCAAAATGAGGACAAAAAGTGGTTAGGAAATGATGTTTTGATGGGACTAACATATTTCAAATCTCTAGTCAAACTGAAACTGGATGGATGGGAGCCGACAACAATAACTAGACGAGGTAGCATAATGGATTTTGATTTTTTTAAAAAGATTTTAAAAGCTTTCACGCATTTTCAGGATGTGCATCTCGCATTGAAGCAATACCACAAAGCACACTCCGTAAATTGGTCAACTTCCACATCGTCTGCAGGCAGGAGACAGTATCAACAGTGCTTCGGTACATTATTGATAATGAAGTTATCATGGCGAAATGTGTCAAGGCCAAGGTGAACTTGAATTCAACGTTTTTTCGAAATAAAAATCAAACTTGAAAATGCATGTAGCCCTATCAATCATATTTTCTTGCAGTTCAACGTACGTCTCTCTTCGCCGGATATTCCGCATCTTATCTTGAAGTTCATCGAATTCCATCGAAAGATTCAAAAAATCCATTTCAACGGATTCTTGTTCACTACACAAGAACAAGTGCAAGCATTTTATGAGTACGCTAAAAACTACAACAATGATGTAATCCTATAGTTTTTGCGTTTCCAGCCATCTACTGAACCTCCCTCAACTCGAAACAGTCCAGATAGAGAACTGCTCTGTGATTGAGAGAATCGAGCATGCACTACAACGCACATTCTTGGACGCGTTGAGAAAACGGGGAATCAAGTTCACATGTTTGGTAACAAGTTTGAGACATGGCTACTGATACCGTATCTTCATTTCATTTCTGTTATTTTCGTTTCCAAAATAAAACAATAAGCGAAAAGATAAATCACAACATCACAACGAAATGGCCAACGGTGAACCAGCCCATCTTGCCACAAAGTTTTGCACATTCAATAAATTTTCCGATTGATGAGATTTGATAACGACGAGGAACCTGAAAAAAAAACACATTACAAGGATTGTCGTCGTCTTCTTTGTCGTCTCGGTAATGGGATGGATACTGTATCACATTGATAAGTGATCAGACATCTTTAGACGTACTTGTTCAGAAAATCTTTCTCGGCCACCATACTTCCGATGTGAACTGTACTCTCGATGACTGGGTAACCAGTTACCAGACACGGCGCCGCTGTTTCGCCTCGTCTGTCGGTCAATGAAGCTTCGAACACGCCACGCCGGTCGTAGACTAGCTCTTTGTTGTGCTGATCATCGACGGAGGCGGCCAGAACCCATTCCTTGATTTCTTCATGCTTGGCGCCCTGAAAAAAACATTTAGTATTTAAAAAAACGAGTTTCGAATTATTCCATTTCAAAACAAAAGAATACTAACCTCCAACCACTGTCTCGTTGGCAATGATACCTCTGTCGGAATGTCACTGTTCTCGAACGGACTGTAATCCACAAGCTCTCCACTTCCTTCTTCAATGGCATCCACCAAATCGAGATAGTGATTCAGAAGTAAGAAGCCCAGCGACTCGTACTCCTTTCCATAATCTTTGCAAGCGGATCCGGCTTCGTAAAAGATACGGTCCGGTGTCAATACATCAGTGTATCTCAATAACGACAGCGACTGGCGTAAACACAATTTCTGCACTTCTGGCACCGATTTATCGATTTCTTCCAGTGCAGTCCGCATGGATATGAGATGAAGGGCCCACATAGCTTTTGTGAACTCTTCCAGATGCTCAGATCCCTCTTTCTTCAAGGCTAGAAACACATCAAGATGAACATTCCGCACTCTAGCAATCTCATTATAGTCAAATCGTGGCTTAGCTAATGTTTCTTCCATAAGAGTTCTGTAGATTGAGAAGTTGGCTGGGTTTCCTGAAGCTCCGTATCTTTCTAGGATAGTCAACACTCTGACATAATCTTCTCGATGAATTAAAATTGCAGCGTATTGAGCAACGTACTTTTCAAGAAGTGGGCGGTACTGAAAACATTAAGAAAAATATGAAAACAGCTTTCACAAAACTCACGTTTTGAGATTTTGCGGTGTCTAGTGCCTTATCCCATTGATCATTTTCGATCATCATATCAATTGCAGTCACGACATCCACATCGATGAGCTCTCCAAGTCGCCCTTCATTTTTCAAACTGTCTTTATAGTTTCTCTCAATCTCAGCCACCATTTCAGGCAGGTACTCTTCGGCCACCTGGAAGTTTTGAATTTTTTCTCATTTGTCGACTCACGAGTAGAATTTGCTATAGTCTGACAATTGTCAGGCTATTCTGAGGCAATTTCAAATTTCAGAAAATATTACCTGTTTTGCTTTTCCCCATTGCTTGGCTCTACAAAGTGCTGTTATTGCTTGTCTGGTTTGTCCAAACAACAGAAGCAACTCCGCTGCTTTCTCATGACAATTATTGTCATCCAGTGCTCTTAGAACATCTCCAACGTATTCATCATCACCCATCAAAAATTTCATCACAAGATCGGCGGCCTTTTCGGTACTCTGTACAATCAAAGCTTCGTTGTCCGTCGATTCCGCATTGATTCTGAGTAAAGCAGATACTGCCTTCCTCCAGTCGCCCTGTTGCTCCCAATCCTTGGCTTGAGCCAGGTACGAATCCACACCACGCGCCCCATTTCTTAATTCTGATTTTTCATATTCTTCTTGAATTAGTGCCGATTGGTGTGGTAAATAGTTTTGAGCGATACGAAGAGCATCTGGCCACATTTCATTTTCAGCGAAGTATCTAAAAAATTGAACAAGTGAACATTGTTTATTCCTTACAATGAAAAAATACCTCAAAATGATCTCCGGCTTGTTTGCCCTCAGAAGGAATGTTTCGGCTCTCAAATGATCTCCTTCTTCAATAGCACGACGAGCTTGACCAGTGTAGACATCTGGCAAAAGATTAGGGCAGTGCTCTTTTGCAATACGCTCAGCAGCAGCCCAATCACTGTCACGGATGAGCATGTCCACCGCAAGGTCCGGTTTGTTGCCTGCAAAAATCGAAAAGTTTCACTGAAATTGGAAATTAGAAATTCCCACTTACTTTTTTAGTATTACTAGTTTCATTTTTAATTAATTTTTGTCGGCTAACAATATCAATTTTCTGTTTATTCTTTCAAATTGAACACAAAAAAAAACGGCGCAAAGTCCGCAATTTAGCGTTTCGGTGTGTGCACAGACACAAATTACGGGATGCATTTAGGCTCACGCGCAATGTTTTTCATCATCTTTTACCCCAATTTATACAACTGAAAACATGTGCGACTATGAAATTGCACAAAAATTGTGCTTGCTGCAGAACGCGGAAGCATAATTTTTCAAAATTTGCTGGAATGAGCATGTTTTATGCTGGTTACATTATGTTAAGTCATGAAATCTAGGATTATTCCTTTAGAAAAAATCTATTTCACGGAAAAAATGCTAGCTTTTCAGTACTTTCAAATATCAGAATTTAGCTGAACAAAATTCTCACCCTCAATGTAATGCTTCGATGCATCCTCGAGTCTTCCTTCCTCCTCCAACTGACCGGCCAGCCTCAAATGCACATCTGCCATTTTGTCCTTAGCTCCAATTCTAGTCAAATCAAACGCCAAGTCAAATGCTCCAGAATCACACGCAAATTCAATTCCTTCATTCAGCATGCCATGCTTATTGAGTAACTTGACCGCTGCATCACCACCAATACTCTTGGCCCACATGAAAAGAACCTACAAAATGTTACTGTCAGTTTTTAAAAAAAGAAGCAACCTCTACCTGCTTCTCCATATTATCTCCTCCCTCAGTTTTGGCGATCCGATAGGCGTCTGCCCACATTTCGTTTTCCTTGTACATGTTGATCGCTGCTCGGAAGTCTCCAGCTTTCAAAAATTCTTCTTCTGCAGCTTTCAGGTCACCACGTTCCTCATACTGAGCAGCAAACCGCTTCCGAGTTTCCTAAGTGTTAAATTTCCCGTTTTCTTCAATCAAGTTTCATGTTACTCACCTGCAAGTGATCACCATGGTACCTCTCGACTAGCCGAAGAACGTCTTCGTCTCGCCCAACTCGATCATACATTTGGATAGCCTTGTGTGGCATGCCAATTATGATATAGAGCTGCTCAGCCTCAGCGAATCTTCCATGCTCATCCAAGTCTTCAGCTTTTGACAAGTATGATGAAGTGGTGACATCCTTTCCGTGAAATTCTACGGAGAGACGGAACGCGTCAGTCCATTTTCCATTTTTTCCGTACATCATGATGGCGTCGTTGAATAGACCGGCTTCAACAAATAGTCGCTCAGCTCTCTGCAAAAATTCTAGTTTCTTGAAACCGTTTTTCCTTTCGTTCTCCTACCTCATAGTCTCCTACACTCGAATAATGGTCAGCGATTTCTCCATAGTAAGTTGTACGCACTTTTTGGTCTTGAATGTTCTCAACGATCTGAAATATAAAGCTAAAATCTTTGCGTTGGGTTCTTGCGCTTTTACCGATAACGCCTTTGGCCATTCTTTGGCTCGAATTGCAGACTCAACAGCTTTCTTCAAATCATTTGCTTCTGAAAATAATCAAATTCAAAATAATCAAACAAAAAAGATCTATCTTACCAACAAAATGGTTCACAGCGGCATCGTACTGCCCGATATACTCTAGATGTAAACCCCATTCATGCTCGAGATCGACCACTTTCTCAGGATATGCGAATCGAGCGAGCTGGAAAAATTAGATTGTGTTTCTCGAAATTAAACAAGAAAAAATAATTATTTACTTGTATAGCTTTTCCGTATGCATCCCCTTTTTTATAGTTGTCAACGGCATTGTCAAAGTCTTTCAGCTTCTCGTAAACTTCTCCAGCCTTATCAAACAGTTGTGCTTTTCCGAGAGCCTCCGCCACTTGTCTCAAAACATTTGCATCTTGAGAGAGCACACTATCATTCATCACAGCATTCAGTGCAGATAAGGGTTTGTTAGACCTCATGTACAAGTCTACAGCTGCCATTGTGTCACCATCTGCTGCTTTGAGCTGAAAAACGCTTTTCTTCAAAAAAAACTTTTCTTAGGTCTATAATACCTCCGCCGCCTTCGAGTCCTGTCCTGTTTCGCTGAGAGCTCTCATATAATTATTTTTGAGACCATCCAAGTTTTGATAGTTGATCACTTTTGCTAGTTCCATTGCTTCATCCCATTTATGAAGAGATGTGTACATCCCAATTGCAGCATCCGCATCGTTCTGTTCCAGAAATATTCTCTCAGCGTCTTTGAATTTGCGTCCAAGGATTGACATCATAGCACGAACCTTGTAATAGTGAGTTCCATCGCCACCGATAGTGATGGCAGCTTCGTCAGCAATCTCTATTATATCCTGAAATTTGGAATTTGTCGAAATAGTGAAGGTTAGTGCTTACATGAAGTTTCTTCGCCTTTGCAATGTTTCCTATTGCCGCGTAGCACCGTTGAGCTACAAAAAGGTTTCCATGCTCTAGTGCCATCTCAGCTACTCTAGTCCACATTGCGTAAGCATCTGAAGATCCTGTATTGGATTCCAAAAACGCAACAGCTCTCTCGAAATCTCGTTTTTCTAGCGCTGCTCCAAATTCTATTTGGGTGTTGTCCAGTTCATATGCAACTTTTGCTGTTGGCTCCTGAATATCTCTGTTGAAGATTTGCTTATAATTTTTGGGTACCTGAACAATGACTTCAGTTCGATCAGCGTCTCTCAAGACTGTCTCAATTTCTCCTTTGATTTTCATATTAGTCACTTGTTCTGGAAGATCTGGATTGTACCAGACTGACAGATTGTCTCCACTTTGTGCAACAATGACATCGCTCATTGGAACCCATTGGACATAGGTACAGAATGTTAGGAGAACAGTTCTCTGGTCAGAATCAATGTCGACTAAAGTGACTTTCGAGCGTTTGTCGCGGTAAAGAAGCTTTGACGCTGGCTCATTAAGCTCAATCCAGTCGATTGGACCAGTGTGATGAATGAAGCTTTCCTGTTGACCAGTAACTAGGTTAACTGAAAATGTTTTCTATGCTTATCGTAATGATAAATTTCTTTTACCGATGGAAATAGTTGTTGGATCTACCAAAAATGCCATTTTCTTCACTTTCTTATGCTCCTCGACATCCGGACCACTGATTTGCACACTGAGCAAGTACGGACTTGTGAGCTCAGTTCTTACCCATCCCATCGGACCATCCACGCCATATTCCACAACAGTCACTTCTCCAGCATTTATGATCAAGCAGCAGTTGTTGAAGTCAAAAAAAAACTTCTCGTGTCCTCCACTTTGCCATTCAAGCTCAGAGAATCTTTGGGTTTCGGTATCAGCAATGATGATGGTGGATGAGGTGTATCCGATGACAAAACGGTCTTTGCCCATGATTTTCAGCTCATCGATAGCTAGTCCTTTATTGGAAATCAAATTTGTTCTCGACTCATTTGTTACATCACGAAGAATCACATGGGATGGGGCGACGTAGGTGGTTTCAAATCGAGATTTCAGCATACCACGACGTAGACAGCAATCAACAGCAAAGACTCCTCCACAGACAGTGCCCTGTAATCAGAGGAATTGATCTCTTGTGTTTCTTGAAAAATTAAAGCTCAGAAAATTTTTGGCAACGTTTCATTTTTTGAAGTTTTCAGTTACCTTGTGAATTGGGAAAATTGCAGATTTTCAAAAACTCTCTTAGTGAGATGCAACTAACCGCGTAAATAGTGCTGCCATCTTGTTTCCAGCCTAGGGCACCTATCGAGTAAGCATTCTGAATTTCCAAAGGAGCTCCTTCGTCCCATGCACCGCGTCTGGCCGACCAGGAGAACAGCCGGAGCCTGAAAATCGATAATAATTTCTTTAAATACTTGTATTTCGATTAATGGGAAACCTTCCTAGCCTTAAAATGAATCAGAAAATCGCAAAGTCACCAGGAATAATCCCTTTTTCTGAGAAAACAATCTTTTCTCACCTATTATAACTAGCCACGACCACATTCTGCGCAGTAGGGTCACACACAATCGACGAGAACTCCTTCTCCGGCTGGTCATTGTAGTCGAATTGCTGTTGGACGACTCCGTTCTCTGTGTAGGACAGTACACGTCTGTCTGACGTGGCCACAACGAGACCGTGGTTAGTGAAAACGAGATTATATGGAGGCCATTGGAGTGTGCAAATCTTGGATTGAGTTTTACTGCTGAAGTTGTACAGAATGATGGATCCATCTTGATGTGCAGAGACAAAGGATGTCTTTTTTGGGCTGAAAAATAGTTTTTCCGGGGCATTGAGTATAATTCCGCCTACTGTGTCTGAATGCTGACGACTGTTTCGTCAGTCTTGAAGAGAGAACTGCATTTGTTGGTTTTGATAAGCCCGATTCTGACCTGAAATTCTCAGTTTATTTTCAATTTCATTTCAATTGATACGGTACCTTTCCATCTAACTGTCCTACCAGTATTTTATCATCGAACGGCCAACTCAAACAAGTCACAGCCGACGGTTGCACAAATTTGTTGACAATCACTTTCTTTTCGTTCCTGCATATAATTATAGTATGAGTCAATTGGGTACGTTCCCTTTACACAATGAAAAAAAGAGAAAAAGCCTACCAAGACGTTCCGACTTTGTAGATGAAGAGCACATTATCACTCTGTCCTATGGCGATGCGTGACGAATCGGGTGAAAATGTCATGCAAAGGACCGCAAACGATTTCTTTCCGTACTAAAATGAGTTATGATAAAAAGTTTTACACTATCTTTTGCTGACTAACCTTTGCGTCAAGCGGTTTGCATGAGAACTTGTCTCTTTGTTGGCCATTTTCATCGAGTAGAGCGACCGATCGATCGGAACAAGCGACTGCTGCTCGAAAGCCATTTGGGGAACAAGCAATTGTGGCGATTTTCGCTTCCCCATCCTGGAAAATACGGAATAATTGAGGAATTTATCGAAAAATATGTTGTTTGGCAGAAAATGCGCGCACAAATAACAGGAAAAGTGGGGGACGAGCGGAGAAAAACCTCTTCCATGGCCGCCTCTTCCACCTGATCTGTGTTACTTGAAAGAGGAGGAGAAGTGCTATAAATCGGATAACTGCTGGAATTATGGTGCAAAAATGACTAGAATATACATAAAAGACATAGAAAACGAACCAATCTGAAGTTATAGTCGATGAAGAGGATTTTATGATGGATCATTCCGCGAAAATGATGGAATTTAAGTTTTCCATTTCTCTGAATCTGAGTCTCACTATTTACAACACTGAACAATTTATCAAAAGCTGTGTCAGCTTATTCTCTAAACCCAGATTTTTGGAAAAACTTGGTCAGTAAGAATTCTGAAATGAAAAATTTCTAAATTTCGTTTTTTCCTTAACATGTTTTTCTATAAATTCGCGCTGTAGGTTGCTGGAATTTTTTCTTTTTTTTGTTCAGCCTGAAAGAGAAATTTTTTCGAAGAAATAACACTTGAAAAACTGAGAAACAAATATTTCAATTTCAACATCAAAAACAGATAATTATTAATATTTAAACCTAGACGATTTGCTGTTTTTGTTATTTTTCATTCCTTTTGAATTATGATTTATTCAAAAAAAAACTAACCTGAGCAGGAATAATACTTGAAAGATACTTTAGCTTCATTGCCCTGCTACTGGCTATTAACTGACCAAAAGGAAGGGGACGGACGGGAGTCTCGTTTGGGAAATGTGTCCATGGCAACCGAATAAAACACCCCGTGTGTGTCTCACGCTTTCCTCCTTTTCTATTGAGTCGTCATGTGCTATTTCGCAATGGAATAAATTCAGAAGAATGGACGGTTAAGTTTGATGAAATTTATTATGGCTTGTATGCAATTGAATAAAATGCAAGTTTCCAATTAAAATTGGAAAAAAAGTTGAGATTAAAAAAAGGATTTGAAGAAAGAGTAAAACAGAGACAAGATTCGGTATGGAAAGGGATTGTATATGAATCGAAAAGAGTGGAAATGAAAAATGGCAATGTTAACGTGAGCACGCACTGAATTTGAGTGAATCGCTTCTAACTGAATAATGCAAAGAATAGTGTACACATAATGGTTGTTAAAATAAGAGAGAAAAAAAAACTGAAAGGCAGTTAAGGATAGTGAACAGGATGTGAGAATTGGAACAGAGAGGATTATTTGCAACGGGAAAAACTTTTGAAAATAAAAGTTTTTTCAAACAACAGGAGAACTACACAGAGATCACTGCGTGTTCTTGAGGGGTTTTGGAAGAATGCGTTAGGAAGAGAGAAAACGGAGAAAGATCATCGATAAGGCACGCAAGATAGGTAATTATCATTTTGATACATAATTTAAAGGAATACAATGAAAGAGAGATGACACCAATGTGGGTGATTTTTGAGGAAGGCAGAGTTGGGATTAATACTGGTCACAACTGGGAACGGATGCGAGAATTTTAAGAGAAAGAAACGAGAAGTGATGTCTGACATCTGTACGGGGGAATATTAGGGAAGAGCATGTTTACCACTGCTCGTGTGGTACTGTCTTTCCGTGCGCATGAACTGCTTCTGGATAGTGTTGTGGTTGCTGCTGCTGTTGCTGCTGTGCAGGGACGGCTTGCTCATGAACTTGCTCGGACATTATTCCATATGGTTGATTGATCATGTACTCAAATGGCTGGTAGTCTTGTCTTGAGGATGGAAGCAACACGCAGTTGTCAATGGCAAATTGGTTGTTGTGAGATTGACCATTCTTCTCGGAAGAGGCGAATGCTCCATTGTGGTAGGTTGGATGTCCCAACATCATCTCCTGTCCAGCGACGATGTATCTCGACTCGTGTTGGTTCACATTGGAGTAGTCCATGCCAGAAGACACCGATGGTTGGGTGGACGAGAGATGATGCACAGGTGGCTGGAACGAAAATTAAATTTGGTTAGTTTATATTTCAGGACTCTATCTGGTTCAGATGGCAAATGTCTGACCTCTAATACATCATACTCACCAACTGTTGTGCTCCAAGTCCTCGGAAGTTGAGCATATTAATTGGCATTTGCAGTTGAATGCTTAGGGCACCTGATGAAGAGCCGGAGTCTGATTTTGAGTCGCTTAGGTTGGAAAGCATGGTATCGTCCAGCGCAAGCATACCTCCATTGTGACGGTCATCGGCGTAACTGAAAAAGGTTTTGGAATAAAAGAAGTTCACAAAATATCAAATGATCTAGATTTTCGTCAAACGAGAATTCAATTACTTACCCATAAAGTTGCATAAGAATATTCTGATTCTGACTCTGCATCAACGAGTCTAATGAAGTGGTATCTAAGTCGATCTGATGATCACTTGGAGGTACAAGAGCACTGGCCTGCAGTGGCTGAATGTTTGCTCCAAGATGAACTTGGCTCATAGTAGCCGCCAAAGAGTTGTTGTTGTTATTATTGTTATTTTTCTTAAACGCCTTGGACCGCTTCTTATTTCCTGAAGTCGTCGTTATTAGCGGATGTGATATAGAAGAGGTTGTAGATGTCGCTGGAAGACCTCCATTCTCTTCTTGCTCCTGCTGAAGCTTCCTCTTTGCAGCAGTAGCGTATGTCAGCTGTCGAAGATCGTTATCCAAATGACTTGAGACCTCATTTTTCCGTTGATGCATATCCTTATGACACTAAAAATGGTTTATGGCTTTCGGCAAGAACATTTTTCAAACGTTAACACAAATGGAAGACAATTACTGGTACAGTACGACAGTTGTAACTTACATGAATCTTAGAGAGACAAACAAAAAGTTATCATCTGTGATGAGCAAATCTAATAAGAGCAAATAAGTAGAACAAATTGCTCCACACACGCACCATTATGGCTACTAACCTTTAAACTATTCTTCCATTTGAACGTCATTTGGCATACTGTACACACAAATGGCTTGGCATCGGAGTGTATTCTTTTGTGATTCCATAGGGTAGATCGTCGGTTGAACCTTGCATTGCAAGTCTGGAAACGTAAATTCATTCACCTATAAAAGTATTGTTTGCAACTTACATCACATTCGAATGGTTTCATCCCAGTGTGAGAATTTTGGTGTTCTTCCAGCTCCATTTTTGATCCAAACTTCGAACTACACAGGTTACATGGATACGGTCGCTTGCGGTCTGCCGCTAACGCTCGCCCATTAGCATTTGTTTTTGGTTGATTGTTATTGTTCAGCGGATCGGGACCAACAACTTGTGTGCAAAAGCCAGAGTGAAGAGGAAAACTTCCAAACACCATTTCTGGTGTGTTTTCCAAATCTGGAATAATTTTACGTTTTGGAGAAAAAAATTTTGCAGTGAGTTTTTCAAGCGCGAATTTCTTTAGAATCACTGCTAAATTGGGGTTAGTACCGTAAACAACAAGGAGAACGCTGGGCTTGGAATAGAAAATCTGTTAAAGCCGGATGGCGATTACAGAATTTTGTATTTTTAGAATAGCGCATTTACTGCAATTACAGTACCTACAGCCGTAGTGAAAAACTTATTAAATCAAATTAAACCTTATAAAATTCAAATCCCTGAGTGAAAAAACATGAATTCTCAGTACTCCTTATTTTTTGAAGGTGGGCAAAGGTTTTATGAACAGATAGAAATCCAAGAGGAAGAAGTTGACGACTAGAAGGGGCAAAATTTTTCAAAGAAAGATGATCGAGTGCTGTCAGAGAGTAGCGGCGGGGCAAACTCACATGAACTCTTGATCAAAGCTTTGGGTGTAGATGGCGGCTCACTTTTCACAATGTCATATGGATTATGGTGCAACATCGGCGTCTGAATCTCCATGATGACGTGATTGGAAAGGAGACGATGTTGAACCCGTGAGATGCCGAAATCTGAAAGTAGAAATGCAAAAACCGGGCTAGTTTTGTTTCCATGATACGATAAAAACAACATTTAGCAACGGTATCACTTTCATTTTTCGAAAAAAAAAAATGAAAGAGAAAAAAAAACGGGAGTGATAAGAAGAAAAAGAAAACGAATACCAAAATGAAAGAGAAAAGAAAAATATGAGAGATAGGGAATAATGGAACAGATAACTAATTCAACGGTTACCATCAAACGGACAGGCAACAATTTAGGATTGGAAATCGGATGATGTATCAGATGCAATCGATAAAAACCGGTAAAGAAACTCAGAAAAGAAAAAAGAGGAAGAGAGAGAGAAAGGTGCGAGGGCACGTTGTAAAATGAGTATGAGCTATCTGTGCACAAGAAACCACGCCCCCTATTCCTCCCATAAAATATGAGGATGGCCACTGTAGGTGAGCAAATGGGCGGGAGGAAGACACTCCCCCTCGGAAGGTCGGACAGTTGATCAGTGTTGTGGAACGGGGCCGCTCGGAAGGCAAGGAAGAAGAGTTGGGATGGGAGAAGAAGGAGGCGGGGCATGTTGGGGTGGAAGCCCACTACCAGAAGCAATGGTGCTTTAAAAACATTGGGAAAAAAAGAATTTAAAAAATGGAAGAATGATAAAATAAGAAAGGCAGAACTAAAAAAGAAGAGCAACAAAAAATACGATGAAGAAAAAAGTTTGAAATAGAAAAAAGGAGCATTTGACTTATAACTGTCAACAAAAACAGATCCTTCTGGATGATTCATAATTTGAGCTCATGCTCTTTTTGCGAAACAAAATTTTTAGCGAATGAATCAGAAAAAAAGATGGTTGAAGAAAGTAAGAGTTGAGGAAAATAAGAGGAACAGGTATGGGATAACCAAAGAACATTAGAAAAAAGATAATTTCTAAAAAACGAACAGATGACGTTTCTCTCTTGGAAGCCTTGTTTCTATCATCGGCTGGCGTCATTTTCTAGACTGTAACAATTATAAGTGTAATGCAAATGCTTGTTGTTTAAGAAGTGTAACATCATTGCTTGGAGGGTGAGCTCGAGAAAACTTGAGCAGCAGGCATTTTGCTACAATTTTCGTCCTAGTGACTGGTGACTTTGATTTTCTTTTCTACAAAGTTAAACTTTTTTCGAAATTTAATTTTATTGATAACTGTTAAGGGTAATAATACTGACATAGAAAACTAATTTAAAAATCGAATCAAGTTTTTTAGCTTTAATGTTTTAGTTTAGAGAGTTTTAAGTAGGTTTCGATTATTCTAAATATTTCAAATTTTCTGATTTTTCAAAAATTGTTAGTAGTTCAAATACCATCCGAATTCGGACAATTTAGGAATTAAAGATTTGATAATACCCCTTTCTATTTCTCAAAAAGCTGTTGTTAGTCTCAAAACAAAACGTGAATAGCTACCGTAACCCTCTCTGGGCCTTTGCGTCTATTATGCCCCAGTAACTAGGCAATTCATCTTGGGGCAACAACAAGAAGAAGCTGTCTTCTCCTTTCGTTCTCCACACTCAAGATCGAGAGAGGACCCGTGGGGGCAGAAAGGCCCGCGTCAGGTGGCTCCCCCGAATAGATAGATCTCGTCGTCTTGTCACTCAATCCGTTTCCAGCGATTTCTGCTATCTTTTCTCTGTGCATCAGGTCCCGAACACACTATTTTCTGATGGCTCCCGAATCATCTTCTAACTCATTTCTCTTTAGAGGAAGACAAGGTGCCGGTTGCTGCTGCTTATCGGTCAGAAGATGGTGGGCCTAGAGAGAAACAAGGAAAGAGAAGAGGAAGAAAAAAAGCGGTAAACTGAAAATCAGGACCAGCCTCACAGACCTAGTTGGCTGGAATTTCATTTTTTGTTTGAATCATCAACAAAAACAAATACTTTCAATGAGTGGACCCAAAACAAGGGGAGGGGTTAAAAAACTAGAACGGTGAAGAAAAGAAACTGTTATCGTGCCCCTAATACATATAAAAAATTGCTGCACTTCTCTACTAGAGGCCAATAGAAAGAAGTTAGAGACATTTGACGAAACGTGTCCTGACGTTCCGCTAACTTCTTCCTTTTTTACGTGTTCTCTGCCCACCAACCAAAGAAAAGATGATGAGAAGCTTTTGAAACTTGATTTTGATCAAATTTAAGAGAGAGGTGAACGCTTCTAGAAATTTGGGAAGGTCTAGAGGTAACCTTTTTATTGGCTAATTTGATTGGAAACATTGATAGCGGAATCTTCAAAGTGGACAAATTAAGTGAGAGGAGTAATATCAGAAACTTCTAGTTTCAGTCTTCAAAATATAATTTTGAAATTCAAAACTCGAAAAACTACTTTTTTATCTTCCAAAACAAGTTGAACAGCTTGCTTTTTACAAGTTGTGATGCAAAATAACAATCAAAATGATAGTTAACGCAAATTAGTGTAGTGAAGCATTAGCTACAGAAATGACGATGATTGAGGAAGAAATGTAGTGGGGGATTTTCAGTCAGGTTCAATCAAGTTCAGTCAGGTTCAGCCTTCCCCCCACCTCCTTTTTTATCTCCTAGTTATCACGGGCCACGCACAAAACAACAAAGTGATAAGACTTAAGGACAGAGATTCAGAGAAGTACATATACCCGTTTTAAGGGGCGACGTGAATGCCAAATGGCAGATAAGGGAGAAAAAACGCGAGGTGGATACAAACACATATGCGTACAAACATACGAATACACCAGTGGAGGGATATACAGTCATTCATTTAGTTTGAAGCCTTTTTGGCAACATTCAGGGGCCGGACGACCAGTGTCAAATTGCCAGAAGGCAGCAGCGCCCAGGCAACGAGGCAGGCAAAAAAAGGGACTAGCCAAAAAAGTGGGGCGACTGATTTTTATCGTCCTTTCTCTGTTGATGCTGCCATCATACAGCCTTCCTTGGCGTCGTCGTCGTCTTCTTTTTTCTGAAACAAGGCAGAAGCTAGGGATAAATCTGACGAATGGCAGGAAACAGTGATGATCCTTTTTTTCATAAGATCTGTAAAAAAAAGGGACGGCGTCGTCGGCAGGAGAAAACCAAAGTGCGCTGCCTGATTGCGGTCGAAAAAGAAGATACACATGAGGTCTTCATTAGAAACATCTTGAGAAAACGAAGCGGGAGGGCCCCGATGGCATTGAATTAGAATAAGTTCCTGTCTTCACAATTCGAGTAACCATAAAGGATCGACAGAGGAAGTATTATGGCTCTCCTCGACCCACATGTGTGCAATGGAAACTAGCTGGTGCTGGTGGAGAACGAACGGGATGGAGATGGGTCATAAGAAAAGCGAAATGGAAAAAAGCGAAT